TTTTCATCATCCTAACAGACCATGAAAGCCTACATATTTGCAAATAGCTCCCTAAAGCATTTCTAAATATTGGCATTCCCATATGTTATTATATTCATTTTAAAAGGCAAATATTTGGGTAATTTTTCAGTTTTCATGATTTCCTCACAATATTGTAATGTTTTCCAGACAATGTATCTTCTCTCTCACAAGCAGGGTCACTTATGAATAATAATATTTATCTACATATCTGCCCGTGAAGAGGTAGTTTTGTCTGGTGAGTTTCAATATATTTTTAAAAGTTCTGCAAGGTCATATAATTGACCACTGGCATCTCCACAGAGTGTAAAGTGCACAAATCTTTTGCAGTTTTGAGTCCTGTGTTAGTATTTCCTTAGCTTTCTCTTAGAGGAGCTGTGTGATTCTCCCTTCTTTTTCCTTTGGGTTTGCTCTGCAACTTTTTCTGACTTCTTGAGTTGAAGTGTTTGATCCACTTATTTTGAACAATTTTATCTCCTAAAAATATATTACAAACACATTTAAAATGATACATTTCCCTCCAAATACTTTTTTTGCTCCTCCCACAAATTTTGACATGTAGGGTTTTCCTTATTTTTCATTTCTAAGTACTTTCCTTTTCACTTTTTAATGCAATGGTTACTTAATAATGTTACTTAGTTTTCAGGTTTACAGGATTTGTAGTTTTTTAGCCTTTGCTTCATAATGCTTCATTCTGGATATTTTCTTCTCACCTCTAAGTTTATCAATTCTCTCTTGAGCAGTGTTTAATCTGCTGTTAAACCTAGTCCATTGATTGAGCTATTAGTTTCTATTGTTAAATATTTTCAAATTACAGTCTTTCCACTTGGTTGTTTTGTATACTTCCCACTTTCCTGCCAAAATTATCAACCTTTTATTTATCTTCTTGAATTCCGGTAAACAACTTGATGTCTACAATAGCTGGCTTCTTTTGGCTCCTTTTCAATAGTTTTTTTGTTGCTGCTGTTTTTTGTTCATGTTATCTTGTCTTCTGGTAGGTGTGATTGTTTTTGTTTGTGGACTGAGTATTGTGTTTGTACTGAGTCATTTGAGGCCTAGGTTAATGATTATCTTTAACCAAGAAGGATTCACTTCGTTTTTGCCAAATACCTGGAGATACTGGCACTCTAGAATCACCTTAATACAATTACAGGGTTTAAGACTGGAGCCGAGTTCTGGCCTCTGTAAAAGCTTAAAGCTTGTCTACTCTATTCACCTTTGCTTTTAGGGTACACTCCTTTGGGCTCCCAGTGCAAAGTAAGAGTTGTTTACTAGATGCTCTGTCTCTTAGGCGGTTCTGGATTCCAATCTCTGTTCCCCTGTCTACCCAAAGCTGTTAAAAGCCTCACTTAGTCTCTTAGCTACCTCTCAGGAAATGCCCCACCTGGAAATGTAGTCTTAAATGTGGGGCTTATATTCCTCAATTTCTTTTATTTCCCAGGTCCTAGGTCAGAAATTCTTCCCTAATTTGTTCATTTTGTAATGATTTCAAGGAGAGATTTTCAGATTTTTTTTCTTTAGTTTTACTAGTTTCCCTTGGTAGAAGAGTTAATCAGAATTGCCTAGTCACCAATTCTGGAAACCCTCCCTCACTCCTACCTTCCTGTGGGAAAAGCCCACAGTAACCAAGGTTTGCTAAGAAACAAAATGACAATGAAAATGCTCACTGTGTAACGATTATCCAAGCACCAAAACAATGAGAGGAAGTGCCACCCAAGAGAGATTCTACAAAATAACAAAACCACAAGTGTAACACAGTTGAAAAAGCAACTCAGACCAACACTGACAACAAAGTATCTTTGCAGAAAATTGGGAGTATTTTGCTTGAGCATGCTACATATTCAGTTTATGAATACCACCTGATAGTAATCTTTACTAGCCAATAGTAGTTGGCTGTAAGAAAGGATGTATGTCTGGCATTGAACAGTGTTTGTCCATTCAGGGATTTGTTCTAAGCTGTGGGCATGGCCAGGATGGCTGAGTCACCAGTGAGCCTCAGACCATACTTTGAGAAGAACCACACCAAATGAAGAGGTAACATTTGGAATTGTTGAAGCAAGGACTTCTTGAGTGGCCTCAACTAAATGTTCCTGCCTTGAAATCTGTCTTTCTCTGGTTAGGTTAGGTTACAATGGAGCAGATTAGGCTTCTATTGATTAGATTAAAACGTCTTCCTCAAATCCACTCTAATCCTCACCCAGGCCAGCTTCATTAGAATTTTGTTTTTTAAAACTGAAGATTGATTATATTATCTATTATATATGGGTTTAAATAGATGAATTGTGAAGATTCCTGAGTTTTAGGGAAGATTTGACACTCTCCTGGCCAGACAACTCTCAGCAAACAAAACAGCCTTAGATAACACATTTGGATAGTTGCTAATCTGGTCCTTTCATTTCCCAAAGCCTCAGTTTTCTCATATTAAGATGGGAATAATAACGTTGTCTATGGGGTTTTGGGGTTTTAAATGCAAGAATGAATACAAAAGTCTTAGCACAGTGGCACACAGGAAAGCATTTGACAACAGGACGTTTCATGAGTTTGTTGGAGATGATGCTCTGATAGTGTTATTTGGGGGCTGGGCAGGGCCTCCGGTCCTTTGAGAGCAATTCCTTCAGGGAAACCAGAGGTGGGTGACTAGTAGTCTGTTGGGATTGCAGCCCTTGATTGGGGAGGGGCCTGAATGTGGCATGGTACCACATGGCTGTGGCTAAAATAATAATAGCATTTCTGTGCTTGAATAATAAAAGCTAAAGCTTAAAACTGAGGAGTTAATCATGGATCTTGGAATGAAATCATGGAGCACAGAGCCTGGTAAAATTCTGGAAACTGTAGTTTTCTCATGTCTATGTTTCTTCCTCTTACACGTTTTCCTATTATAGCTACTCTACACTTTCCAGTGTCCTAGTCCCATGGGGCTAAATGCTTTATCTGCTTTTTTTCATCTAGTGCTTTTCTAGTAACCTCATGTTCCATGGAAGCTCAGAGAGGTTAAGTAAGTGATTTCTAGTCTAGCTTGAGAGCTAGATCTCTGAATACAATGTATTACTTTTTGAGTTATTGAATTTGAGAGTTGACAGTCTAAAGGGCTGTTGAATTCATTCATTTAACAAACATTTAACAAGCAATGATTGTACTCTGTACTGTTTGTCTCTGGGGATTCAGAAGGGAATACAAGACTGCAACTACAATAAAAAGGCTATATTTATTGCGTGCTAATTCTGTGTCAGGCAGTTTATGTACGTTAGTTAAATTAACCTTTGAAACCATGTGAGAAGAATATCTATATCTTTATTTTGCAGATGGTGGAGGTGAGACTCCGGGACTGGCCCGAGGTCACACAGCCCGGAAGCAGCAGAGCTAAGAGCCTTTAACTTTCAAATCTTGTCTTGTTTTTCAGAAATGAAAATTTCACTCTTATTTTTTATATAAAAATAACATTCTTTAAAAAAAAGTTATACACAATTTAAACAAGCGAGTACTGGTTTTCTTGCAAAACTTGCCAAAACAGGTTACTAATAATCATTTAAAATTTGCCAGTGTATTTATTAGGAAAATATGACATTTCAAAGTTGCATTTAACTTATTATTTTTCTACTATTTTACACCTTTATTGAATATATTTCACATACCATAAGCTCCACCCATTTAAAGCACACAGTTCAGTGCTTTTTAAAATATTTTCAGAGTTGTGCAACCATCATTACATTCTAATTTTCCAACTTTTCAGTATGCTCAAACCATACCTACTAACAGGCACTTCTCATTGCCTTCCTCAAGCCCCTGCAACTCAACCCCAGGCAGTATGAGTTTATTGGCCATTAGTGGTTTTATGTCTGTGTCTTTTGGATTGCTCTTTTTACAATAATTATATACATTCTGTGTTTAGTTCTGTAATTATGAAGATTATTCATTTATCTATCATGCATCTGCAATATTTTAAAGCTGTTTTCTCATTTGTATTACTTTGTTGGTGGCATTTCTTTCTGTACAGAAGTTTAATTTTCTTTCGATTTTTAAAATGATTTATTGATTTTGATTCATTTATAAACATTTTCCCTCCTCCAATTATAAAGCTTTTCAACCTTCTATATCCTCTTCTGGTCTTTTATAGTATTATGGTTTGCCTAAGTTTCAATCCATCTTTGGTTTAGTTTGAGATAGAATAACTATATCTTATCACATACTACTGATTTGAAAAATAACTTTGATCAAATTTATATTCATTGTCGACACTGGACAGAATGACAACAGTTAACACCGACTGAGTGCTTACAAACAGGATCGGCTTTACATTTTTGGTTTTGGATTATTGTTCTGCTATAGCTGTCTTGGAATTCGTTAACTATTTTGAACAAGGATCCCGGCACTTTAATTTTGTGCTAGATCCGCAAATTATGCAGTGGCCCTCTTTACAAGGCCCAGGCACTGTCCTAATCATTTTGCATTATTTAATGGAATAATAATATGCCATATTATTCCATTTAATCCTCATGGCAATTCGGAGCCGTTCTCATTTTCCTCTTCAATTTACAAATGGGGCCGTGGAGGGGGTTAGATTAAATAAGGCTACGGAGCCAGACAGCTGCAGCAAAGGGGTTTGTACCCAGCAGCTTTCACGCCAGGCAAGTAAATATCCATTAACATTGCAGGCTGTTACAATATGGGGGTGAAACTGGGAGGGCGCGAGGGTCCAAAGGGTCCCTCGGCAACTCGGTCGAGCATCATCACTGCTCCGACCCCGCTTGCCCGCCTCGGTGCGGTGCAGGGCTGGACGCCGTGCCGAACCCGGCCTTCAGCCCGAGGCGGCGCGCGCTCGCCTAGCGGGCGGGCGCTCGCGCGCGCAGCGGCGGTATTGCCTGCGAGTTTCCCAAGTTCACACAGGCCCTGGGTTGGCATGGCAACCAGGCAACCTGTTCCAGAGCCGCCAGCCTTCTCCTCACATGCCGCCGCCACCACCGCCGGAGCCGGGGGCCAGAGCCTATCCCATGATGCACCGCGCCAGCCCCATCCCCAGTGGGCCGCCATGTTGTCGGAGTGAAAGGTAAGGGGGAGCGAGAACGCTGGAGAGAGAAGATCGGGGGGCTGAAATCCATCTTCATCCTACCGCTCCGCCCGTGAGTACCCGCACTTTACCGGCCCCAAACGCTGCTCTGGACCCCCAGCCAACAGACTGTCCCTTTGTATTGGTGTTTGAGAGAGGCTGTGGGGGTAAGAAGGCCTTTGGAAAAGCCGCCCGGGGCCCTGGTTGAGGCTTCTCACTCGCTGTTCCTAGTACATGTTTTGGAGTCAGCAGCAAGGCCCCTATTGTTATCAAAGGCGGGAGGGGGTGGGGAGCGGGGTGGAAGCGAGGAAAATGCCTGGGGTTTAGGCCCTGGCCCGGGGCACAGACGTTCCTCTACATTTCTGTTTGGTCCCTTTGGAGACCCTGAAGATTGATGTTGCTATTCGGGTTGCTTTTTTGATGGGTTTGCAAAGCCCCGAGTCTTCTCTGTGGCCACGAAGTGTATTTCTGTTCCACCCTGGATTTCTTCGACTTCTTGAGCTTCCGTGGCAGTGCTGAAGCAGGAGGAACAAAAAAATCGCTCTATAAGCAACCGTGGCCCTTGTCTACAGGCGAGACCCACCATGGGGGAACTTTGCGAGCCTTAAATGTGGAGAAGTGGCGATCAGGAAGTTTCAGATCGCTTTTTAGTCTCCTGGGTACTTGTGGCCTTTTGTTTCCGTGAGAGCTTATGTTTTTAGTGGGTTCTTCCTCTTTGATCCTCCGTGTGTTGGTGCGTGTCTGTCTTAACTCAAAAGAGGGGTTCACCCCTCTGTAGTAGGAAAACAGATCCACAATACTAGTTTCAGTCCTTAAGGACGTTCTTGGTAAACATAGGTCATTTATTATACTTGTCTGTACCACTCCCACGTCAAGTGAGGAATACTCTCCTGTAACTTTTTCCGCCCCCCACCCCCCCGACTGGAAGCACCCTGCTCCCAGAGGAAAAAATCCCCACATGCGGGCGCGCACACTCAACACTATCAGGGAAGGTTTTATCTTCCCCATAACTTGAAGGATTGTTACTCTTCATTGTCCAATTAAGAAAACACAGTTTTTAGTGGTCGGCATCAATGCGTTCACTTCTTACTCTTTTTGGGATCTTAAATGAGAGTTGAAGAAGCCTTTTGGGGGTTCTGTTTTAATGCCGGTTACTTCTGAAACAATAGGTTTGTAGCTTTAGCTTTTTGTTTGCTATATAGAAAACACATGAAAGCTCCAAAAGCTTCCTCCAAGATATGTGGCTCTCGATGTAGTTTTAGTAAGCAAAATAAGCATTTTGACCCATTGCTACTTTTACCTTTTTAAAAACACTCTTGGGGGCTGTTGATTGTTTCTCTGGATCTTTGGGAAATACTCATTGAATTCTGAATTTCGCGTTAGTATTTTGCCTTCAATTTGACCAAGGCCACAGCTTTTTGAAGTTGGGTTTGAAGTTAAGTTTGGGTTTGATGACTTGTTTTAAAATAAATTTATGACCACAACATTTTTTTTCAGTGTGGTAAAAGTAAACACTTTTAATCCACTAAAAAAAAAAGCTGTGGAGATAGATTAAACCATGTTTTGTTTGAAATAAAACCTGCTAGTGATATTAAAGAACTTGATTATACAGTTTGAAAACTTTGGAAGAGTAACTAGAATCAGCACTTCTATTTTGCCTGAAATACTTATTTTTACAATGTGCCATTTATAAAAAAAAAAGGTCATATTTCAAATACAAGTACCTCTTTAATGGGTTCTGAGAATCCTGTAAAGGCATTAACAATTTAAATGTTTTCTAATATTTAAGTGATTTCTTAATTTTTGTGCTGTAGTTGCCAAAATACTACAAAACTACCCAAGCCACGTGTTAATTGCTTAGGTATTTGCTCACTTTCAAACTGTCCGTTCTGCCAGGTTTTCTCTTGTTTGAGAAACTGCCCTTCCTCACTAGGTCAAGCAGGAAGTCTCAGGGTATACTGATAACTTTACAAAAGCCAGTTGTTTCGTTTGAACTTTTTTATAGGAATTCTCCCACCCCCAATCCTTTGTTAGAATGAAGTTGTGTTCAGTGTGTTTCAGTGGTAAACACCTTTTGCATATGGAAATCTTGCTTAGAGAAGTATTAGGGCAAATTTTTTATGTCAGGAAAAGTTGCATTTGCTATTTTAGGAATCTTAGTGAGTGGAGCTCCATTGCCTTAACTGGTGGTAATTGAATTCCTGGGGTCTCAGCATGGTGACTTTACATTTATGAAAAATTTTGTATCTATTATTATATTTTGATTGGAAAAAAGTAACCTTGTGAGGCATAAAGGAAAGATTTCTTATATTTTCTAGATGAGGAAACAGGCTCAGAGAGGTTGCTAATTTAATGGTAAAACTTGGGTTTTGTGATTCCTAGCTTACTCTAGAACAGAGTGTTCCGTTAATAGTCCCTTGTAGGAGAAAATGGGACTGGGCTACAATTGGTAATAAGAGAGAAACGTCTTGGTATGGTGAGAGACTAGACTTACTGTGGTGATCATTTCGAAGTGTATACAAACATCGAATCATTATGTTGCGCATGTAAAAACTAATATGTTTTATGTCACTTAACATCCTCAATAGAAAAGATAGAGACAGTGGGTTCTTTTGAAAATCAATTGGAAAGGCATTAGGCTGGTTAGCACTTTGCAAAGACCTATGATAAACACAGCTGTGGCTTTCTGTTTTCGATACTTAAGCATGAACATAATTCTATTCATAAAGTAGTAATTATAGTCTAGAAAGCTAGACTACTCCAGTACCCTGGTAAGGTTCAGATGGATTGGAATTGTTAACAAAGACTAGGCATTACAAATTAGGCTTTGAACAAATTCCAAATTCCATTGTCTTCTACTTCCGCCTTCAGAACATGAATTGTGAGAAGCCAATGTTTCTCTATCAGGTTTAATTATTATTCTATAAATAAATAATTTAATAGATTTCTCAAAGTTTGAATCTTCTGGAAATGTCAAAGTAGTGCTAAGATCAGGAATTTGTATTCTGAAATTGTACTCTAGTGACTATGGGCAGATGTCTTCTAATGGGTGACTGATTCATTACTTTGTAGCAAAAAGTTTTTTTAGCACCCACAGGTTCTATTTATGCAAATGTAGTTTGTGATTTAAGAACATTTAAATAGTTACATTTCATAGTAACATTTTGGAGATTTTGTTGTTGCTCTTTCCAGAGAAGAGTAGTAGATACAAGTGTTGATTTACTAGGGAGTACCAAGGGTTGATACAAAAACTGTTTGGGTACAATAGATATAACTTTGAATCCCCTTTGCAACATACTAGCTGAATAGCCTCAGGCACATCAAATAGCATTTCTGTAGTGTTTTCATCTGTAAAATAGGGAAGATTAGATAATGTCTGCAGTATATTTGCCACAATTATTGTGTTGAGGCATCTTTTTTTACAGTGAGACTTTGTTCACTAGTCAGGTGTTTGAATTTGGTTTGGCTTTGTTTATAGGAGTCAAGGTACTAATGGAATAATGATGTGATTACAGTCATAATTGTAAATTACTGATAAATTCCTTGAAAAAATTTCCCCCCATTAAAAGCAGCTGAGGAGAAGGTTCAGGCTAAGAACATTTTGTTGTTGTTCCTGATCAGGGGGCCTTGTTGTTTCTTCAAAGAGCATCCTATGAATGTTGGACATTTTAAAGGGTTCTTTGAAGTTTCAGACAATCTTAGTCATTGCTACTTAATTATATATGGGGTTTAGATTTTTGTTTTATTGGCATATGTCTACTCCAGCTGTTTAGTTATATTTTATAAAGCTCGTTCACTTAAAAAATATTTGCCGCAATAGGAAGAGGAGCCATTGATTGAAGTCTGATTCTTTTACCTTTGATAACAATGTATGTTTCCCTGAAGTTGCCTTATTGAGTCCTTATCTCAAATACTTTGTCAGAGTGCCTGCCATGAACTACATTTATTTACACACACACACACTCAGCAACTTAAAATAGAGGTTTCAGTTTAGAAAGTTGTGTATATATTATAAAACGTAGGTGCTTCCTGAAACTGGGTGTAGATGGTGTATTGCAAAAGACATGGGACTCATTTTCATCTCCGTGTGTGTCAAGGTATGTTTTAAAAAATGCAAATTTTAAACATTTGTAACCTGTCTGCCCATAGGTGTTGGTGGAATGAGCGTTGCATGTGTCTTGAAGAGAAAAGCAGTGCTTTGGCAGGACTCTTTCAGCCCCCACCTGAAACATCACCCTCAAGAACCAGCTAATCCCAACATGCCTGTTGTTTTGACATCTGGAACAGGGTCGCAAGCGCAGCCACAACCAGCTGCAAATCAGGCTCTTGCAGCTGGGACACACTCCAGCCCTGTCCCAGGATCCATAGGAGTTGCTGGCCGTTCCCAGGACGACGCTATGGTGGACTACTTCTTTCAGAGGCAGCATGGTGAGCAGCTTGGGGGAGGAGGAAGTGGTGGAGGCGGCTATAATAATAGCAAACATCGATGGCCTACTGGGGATAACATTCATGCAGAACATCAGGTAAAAAAAAGTTTACTATTTCAGCTTTGAAATTCATAATCGCTATATGCACTAAGGATATCTGCTTTCAATGAATGCCTTTAAAAACCTAAATTGTTGATTTGGTCTAAATAGTCACTTGTTTAAAATTTAAAAGGATGATAGTTTTAATATAGTGATTGGGTCATTTTTCATTATGGTGCTAAATAATAAATGACCAGTTCATTTAAAAAAAAACCTTAAGACTGTGTTAATGTGCACATTGCTTTTCTGTGTATACATTTTTTTTTTTTCCCAACAGAAAATACTGTTTTCCTCCACATGATTTTTTAAAAAACTGTTTGGTCTGCTCATAAGCTGAATACAATTTTAGAGCTTTTCCTGTTGGGTGTGGGTGACTTGTTTTTAGGATGTTATAGTTGAAAGTAGTAAGAAGTTGATAACAAATTAGCTGCTTAAGTGAAATTTATTTGAAGTGGAACTGATAAATATCTAATGTTTTGTGTCAGAGTGGAATGGTTGTGGCTTCTAGGTTTTAACCATCTTCTTCTTCTTGTTCTAAGCACTTGCTTCATGTGATTCATTTTAACATGCTTGCTTTTACTAATCCAAAATCATAGCCTGGAATCATAGCATATTTTACTGAAAAAAGTTTAGCCTGATCTGTGTTTCCTAACTTCTTGATAGTGATGAAAGGATTAGAATGTTAATCAGGGGGTTCTTTGAAATTGGTGTAGGTTGAATTTGCAGAGGCTCATTTTTTATTGCCAGTGTCTGAGTACCAACTAGCAAAAACAGCTGACATCTCTCACTAGGCCTCTAGTGCTTCTGTTCTGCTTCAGAAACAGATCAGGTACAAGTACACTTGCAAATCTGAATTCTCATTTGTGCTTCCCTGACTCTTCCAAAAGAGAGGCAGCCCATGTACCATAGTTCTTTACCATAATAGAAACGAGGTGGAATTTATCTTCTTATTTAACAAATTTATTGAGCACATTCATCATAGGTCTTTGGTTTACTGGAGCAGTCATCAATATCAGTGCTGTTTCATTAGCAGATACTATGTGTAGGTGAGAGATACTAAGCAGAATGAGGTGTAGGGAGCTTCTTGTGTGCTTAGTTTTTTAATCTTTATTATATACTTATTACTTATTCTGGTTCTTAGTGGTAAAAATGACTTGTATTTACTGGAACTGTATTTGTTTCCTATCTGTTTAGAATCTTGGAGGTGGGGATAAAATCTTAACCCATCTCAATATCCTAGTCCCCTGGAATTTGGCATATAATAGAGCTTTGAAAGAAATTCATTGAATGCATGAGTCTCTAATCTTTTAGCCCTCTAACTTGGAGAAAAAGGACGTTGTCACAAAGATAAGGACCTTGAATGCCAGGCTAAGATTTAATTCAGTAGGCAGCAGGGTTTTTGAGTGTGTGTGTATATGGAGTGGCTTTTATCTAGTGGTGTTTAGGGAAGATTGAGTTGGCCATAAGAGATTGGAGTGGTAAGGGCTAAGACCAATTAGGTAACTATTCTAACAGCCCTGGTCAGTAATCCAAGGAAAAGAGGGAATGGGACTGAGAAATGTACAGTTTGGTGATTGAATTAGAAATCTTAGGGCCTTGGGAAAATGAAGTAATAGAGGAAAAAGAATACAGGAGGAGTTTGGGGATAAGGGATCAAGTATGGAAGTGTACATGCTGAGTTTGAGATGTACGCATCTGTACATGTAAAGAAAGACCAAGGTAGTAGGAGGTGTTTGGTTCGGATGGTATCTCTAGGAGCCTATAATTTTTGCCTTATTGTGCTAAGCATTGTTTAAAAATCATAAACATTGGATTTTGAAATCTGTGTTATAGATGTTTAAAATCTTGTGTTGGCTTTCTAATGATAGGCTGGTGGCTAAAAAGCTGGGAGAATCAAGGTGCTCAGCCTGGCCTTTGCTAGTGAGCAAATCAAACTCTGAATCAGTCCTTGGCAGTACTCTAAGATCTAAAACCTGGTTGTGTTGTCCAAATCAACAAGTGTTTATTGAAGGGCTTACTCTGGGCTCTGTCTTATGCTGAGTCCTATCATAAGGAATCACATCTGTCTTACTGAGCAGTTTTCTCCAAGTCATTTAGCAAATCAAAGTTAATGGTAAATGGAAAAACCTGTTCCATACCCAGGAGGCCAAAACCAGTGACCTGACTTGGAATTGGCACTCCTAACAACACAATTCCGTTGTGCCAGATACATGATATAATGAACAGCTTTAGGGAAACTCAGGGTAGTTGCTGTATTGCAGATATGGGCCACCCACAAATTGTTTGCCCTGAAATCATTATAGTGTGTTGTGATTTACTCGCTTTTGGTGTTGATCTCACTTCCTGGACTGAACTGTTCTAGGGCAGAGACTATTGTGTTTTTCATGCCCCTTTCCCAAGAGGTATCTGAAAATTTTTGTGTTGATTGAATGAGGGAAGACCACAAGTTCTTGAGATTTGCAGGATCTTAGAGTTCAGCTGTCCTGGTGGGGAACACAGGGCAACAGCTAGAGGCCTCTTGGACAAGCAGCAGTGGTGAGTATAGTGTAATTGAAGAGTGAGGAGGCATTTCTTTAGATGGAGAATCACTGCCCTCATCAGCCTCCGTTACTGATTGGAGGAGGGACGGGATGTTTAATCAGGAGTGCAAGAGGTGGAGAATAACTGATGATGCCAAAAACGTTTATTGAGCACTTAGTTCTAGGTACTGGGCTGTATATTTCCTGTATTTAATCCTCAGAACAGTGGTATGAAGGAGGTAATACCCTTTGTTTGAGAGGTGAGAAACTGAAGCTAGTTACCAGGTAGAACCTGGTTTTGAAATTCAGTCTTTGTGATTCCAGTTCCCATGCTCCATAGGAATAGTTCTAGTGTTAAAAAGTAAACTGTACCAAACCAAACACAACTACAACAAAGTAGCACATTCCAGGGTCAAAGAATTGTTTGCGATAATTTTGCTTGGATTTTAGAAACTTGATAATAAGGATATGAATACAAATAACCTTGACTTTTCCGCTATAATTGTAGGAGTCCTGTTTTTCCCACAAGAACAATAGTACTAAAGTTCTTTTTTTTTTCGGTTTGTTTTTATTTAGTTTTACTTATTTGTTCAGTTTTGTACTTTATTCTTATAATTTGTTCTTTTATTCTGCTGTATCAATGGGCCATTATAACTGTTCAGTGGGCCTGTTTCCCTTAGCTCCTTTTTAAGGAGGCATTTTGGCATATTGTAACAAAACTTAAGATGAAATTGGCCTAATGCTTTCACCATGAGCTGGTGAAGTAAATTATATTATAGACTGATGCCAGCCAGCAGTGTTGGATGGAAGGGAACTGCTTACTGTGCCGGGGACTACATACACTTCTATCATTATTGCCCCCTTTTATGAGCAAATCACTGTTTTACACTTACAAAACTTTTTTTTTACCTTTTGAAGTTAGATTTTCCTGCTGATGTATAAATTCTTAACGTCTGAGTTTTCTGCTCTTTTAATGTGAGCCCTATAGTCTGTGCTGAAATATATGTATATATGGCTGATTTTTTAAAATAAGTTTTATTTTCTAAGTGTAAAACTTGAGATAAATAGCATAAGGCCCTTGAAATGTTTAAAATGTGTTGAGGTAATATGCAGGACTTAAAAATCTTGCAAACTGAGATATTTAAAATTAGGTGAAATTTAGAAATGATAAAATATTTTGAGGCAGGGAAAGGTGTTCAGGTTTGTTTGTATGTTTATTTAAAAGTCGCAACATATGCAAACTCTTTATGGTTTTTCTGTAGTTATTTGTCTTTTCTACCCTAAGAATATAAACATACTAAGTGTCACTTGTTTTAGTACATGAAATTACTGTATTTGGTATAGTTAGAAACCTCAGTGCTCCCGTTTTTGGGTGAAATTGAGGTCTTTTGAGGGGAGTGAAGGAAAGAAGTTCCATGAAGTTATTTTGGGGCCTGTAAAATTTACCCAGTGCAAGTAAGACAATGGACATGGATCAAGATACTAGAAAACACATCTTATCCTAAGTGAAGAATATTATTTAAAAATGTTGCCTACAAATAATTTGCATATTTATTTTAACAGTAGTTTTTATAACTTAGGATCCTCTTTTTTTCCCCTGAATAAAAAGGTTTCATGCAAAGCCCAAGGTCAAGTCTTCCACATGTTGTGATTGTTTTATTCTTTTATTGTGAAATTTGTTTTCTCTGTAAATTGTTGTGATAAAGTGGGTGATGAAATAGGGCAAACTTTTTTAAGGTCCACCAGTTGAACTAGGGCCTGTGTACTGAATTTTATGGGGCAGAGATAGATAGAAGCTCTGCTTTGGGAGAAAGGAGATTTAGCTTTCTCACTTTGTTACTAGTAGTCTTTTGTTAATAGACTGTATCAGTATCCATCGTAGACTAACAGCCAGTGGGAGATAGTTCTAGATAGTTAAGCAGAAATCAGTGGTTGGATCTTCTCTTTGACTCCATTTGTACCCCCTTTTTTTTTCTCTTGGTGCTGCCATCTTCTAGTGGTATCCTGACACTCACCCTGACAAGTCTGTCTTCTTTACTTGCCAGTAGCTGTGAGCTTATCCTTATACTTTTAATTAATAAATGCTATGTTAAACTGGGAAGGAGCCCCAAGTATTCCCCTGTGTTGGGCATCTTGTCATTCCTGGAAGATCTTTTTCTGTTGTCCCTGATGAATGATTTCTGGTATATCATGAATCTCTTACCTTTGTGGGTAGGTTGCCTAGATGCCTCAGCATTTGGGGCCAGTGGTGTTCGTTTAACATCCTGCATTAAAACTGAGTGATCCATGCTTTCATACCTTGCTATCTCTTAAACCTGTACTTCTACAGACTTACATTATGTATTTGGTCAAAAGGATCATCAGCAGGCCTTTTTTGACTATAATTTTAAGAATTATTTTTCAGTTTCAGTGTAAAAAAATAGTAGTCAGATGCTCTTCTCTAATGCTGTGTGATTGTATGTGCCTTCTAGATGGCAA